TTGAAATTTGAGATAATTTCTGGGAGGTGGAGTGATGGGATTTATAAGTAAATAAATATGCAAGTACATGTTTTTATTTATATTTATTTTCAAACACTTTTGTACATCAAATAACTTAGTGTATTTTTGTAATAGATACATTATTAACACTTAATTCTAGGACGGAATTAGCGTAATAATATGTACATATTTGTGTGCGCTGTAGTACCGGATTTTGTAGGAAGCGAATAAAAATCTGTTTTGAAAGTAAAGATAATGTGGGATTTATTTTAATTCTAAAAAGTTGAAGGAAACTGTAAGTTATGGAAGAAAATGTGATGCATACATAAATCGGACGATTGCTTTCTTGTGCTGTTTTAAAGTCGTTCACATTAGGCTATTTTGTCAGGTACCTTGCTGATCTGAACGCCCGCTTATATAGGTTCGGAGCACCGCCATCTAGCAGTGATACGCGGAACTTCGATTAAATGTCATTCACATTAGGCTATTTGTACTGGTACTTGCCTAATCTGAATATCCCCTTATACGGTCTCGGAGCACCGCCATCTAGCGGTGATACGCGGAACTTCAATTAAATGTCGTTCACATTAGGCTATTTTGACTCGTACTTGCCTAATCTGAACGCCCCCTTATGCAGGTTCGCCGCAGCGCCATCTAGCAGTGAGGAACGAAACTACAGTAGAAACTTCGCTGATGGTATATTACCGTTGAAATGTGATCAATGAATTACCGACAGAGTCCGGTCGGTACTTTACCCTTGTTCATCATAGTTCAGCAGTTTGTTGGTAGATGGCGCTGTTAACAGCATTTGTGGCGGTTTTTTTAAAAGATTGCTTCCTTTTTTTGGGTTACATGTAACAATATTCATCACATAATCAGAAAGGCGTGAATATCGCTAATTATTGAGACAAAAGACATTTTCTGTTTTACTAGTTCCGCCGTTTACCGCTAAATGGCGCTGGCTGTACTGTTTTCGATCGTTTTCAAATAATATTGACTTTCTCTGGGTTAATTAACGATAATACGCAACAAGATGTTTCTAAAAGCAATACTAATTAGCTACAAAATGCTTTAAAGGTGCGAAAAACCAGAAAAGTCAATCAATACAAAAATTGTATTCAAAATTTAGTTCCATTAACTTGTACGTTCTACCGCTAGACGTGTAAGTATATTGAAGACCATAAAATACAATTTGAATAAGTTTTCATTTTTATCAGCTTTACTGATTTGTGATAAGTTTTGTTTTATTTTACAAAAGTCATGAAATGTTCTATTATTCAGAACAGCATCAGCCATTAATTTTGAGCTAAGAAGTGCAGATGTTAATACAGATTTTAATTTCAGTTTTTACCATTGGAAGCATCCATTTCCAATAATCGATTGATAACTCTGTAAAATAAAAATTGCAACTTTGTCTTTACCAACTGAGTTAAACTTTCACAATATCTTCTTAATTTAAAAATTTTTATATTTATCCACATATACAATTGCAATACGAACTTTGAAAAATTACAAACTACATAGTTATAGAAAAATTTAATAATTTACAATTTACATGTACAAACCATTATGTATATATTTTTCATTCTTAATAAAGTAACTGTGTTTTTAATGGACCACAATTATTCCATATTATAATTAATTACCATGCAATTTTCGCCAAAAGCAACAACGTTTGCAGTGTTTATAAATTAATTATCACTGCAATTCTAAAAGTAATTACATAAGAATTGTGTACAAAATTATTTTAAGCAGAAGAGTAATTATTTATCTCGAAACAAAAAGTGACATGTTTAGAGAGGTTAAGATTCGTGGAACGCGAATTTTTGTACAAACAACGTTATCAAGAATCCGATGAAGAAATCGTAGTACCGAAGGATTCCGCAATACGATTAAAGTATTAAAGAGGATCCATCGTGGTCCAGACATTTAAGACGATTCTTCCGTCTATTTTGCCCGATCCTCTCGGTCGGACGACACGCGGCAATGACATTAATGTCACACGACACAGTGAACAGGATGTGGTTAATTCAGATCGGTCGTCGTATGTGACTCACATTATATGCATGTATGCGACTCATCTCGAAGTGGCGAAAAGAGAAGAGGAGGTAACTACCAATAGTACAGTGCTGTGAATCGCACACACGAATCGCCTCCAAGCACTAAGGTCACACACACGCGTTTTGACCTTAGCCCCCAATTTGTTTCTCGACGATCAAGTCGAGGAAATCGTTTTCACAGCCTTCTTCATCACGATAGCTATCCAATGACTATGTCATACAAGCGAATTAACAGTACTTATAATATAATCGTCTCTATGAAATATTATCATAATCCTTGGCAAAATACACTTTATCAATAACACTATGTACACATTCTACCAATTGATCAAATAATCGTTCATTCGCTTATTGATTTAGATCAAAATCTTCTGCTGTTTTTCACTGAAAATTTTGAAGAAAATTTAATAGATAATTATTATAATTTTTTAGAGCTCACATAAAAATATCTATGTACAGAAATGTATTATTATTTCAAAAATTATAAAAGTAATTTTTCTTACCTTTTTTAATAATAATTATATATTATGTTTTGTATATTTTCACAGATTTGTATATTTTGTTAAAAATTTCAATTGACATTAGTATAATATTTTGTTAAAAATATCAAAGAAAATTTTATAAAAAATAATAAACAAAGTTTGCAGATGAAAATTGTCATCTACAAAAATAATTGTCATGTTAAAAATTCTAAACTTTAAAATAACTAAATTTCTTAATTTTCAAATTCCTGAATTTTTAAATTTAAGAATTACCAAGTTAAACTTGCATCCACTGATGAAATCAAAAGGATAATACCAGCTAGTTATATTGCATGTATTCTCTGACTTACTCAGCAAATAATTGCAAAACTACACAGACAAAAATCAACAAAGTTATCTGAAAAAATATCGACTGTTATAAAACAAAAAATCTACCAGTTTACAATTCTAGAATTTAATTTCATACTCGACAAAAATACTGCACCTACCTTAAACTAATACCATTTATTTCTATTGATATTTACCTGGTACCTTTAATAGATTATAACCTATTTCATAAAGTGTATTTGTAGTATTTATAAGCGTTCAGAAGAAAAGCTAGATCTAAGCTTTAAAATGGAATTACATACTTATGTAAAGCAATAATCATAAGTGGAATAACGAAAGCATAATCTGTCTAGAACCACCTGTTTCTGAAGGTTAGTCGCATTAAGTCTTAAAAGTGCACAATAGAGCGCGCCACCGAGCTTGCAGTATTTTTATTATAAATCGGGTTAATTTCATTTCATCTCGATGTAAAAACAAATATCACTTACAAACTTGTAAGAGATCCGCTAAAATTTAATTTAAGAATATATTTTATTTATATTGGTATCATTACAAATGAGCTTTCAAATATTGACACAAATGTACGCATATATTTTTTAGATATGTATAACCTATCATGTTACATATAATTGTATATAATAATGAAAATTAATAATCTTATGAATTTGTAAATTTTATAAATTTCATTTCTAAATAATCTCAATAATAAAATGGATGTACTTTATTTTTCAACAATGATACATAGGATAATAAAGTAAAATCTCTTTCCGTTATCTTTTGTTTTATTTATATGTGACCTTGGTTCAAGTAAGATAGAATTTTATACAAGAAAATTGGCATCATAAGTGTGGATTAAAATTTAAGAACGGAAGTATTTATGCATTCAAACCTACAACCTCGACGCGTCATACTACCATGCATTGAACTCTTCATGTACCTCGGTTTTAACAGCCAAAAACCTGTTCAATCCAACAAGCTCTGAATAGGACAAAGCACAAAGAGCGTGATAATAGGCGTGGCGTTAGGTTGAGAGAACATTGAAAACATTTGCATAGTGCATTTCCGTACAACGAAGGCTTTCTTTGAATAAGTGTAGGGGTAGACTGTCTTCAATTTTAGAGGATGCAATTTTGCAAAATTACAGATTTTCAAAATTTCTAAATTTCTAAATTCATAGATTCTCAAATTAAAATTTGAAATTTTTGAATTTTTAGATTTTGTAATTTCCAAATTTTCTAAAAACTAAGACCCAGAGTCTTTAATTTTTTTCTTCTAAATTTGTATATTATTAGGTACTCAAATTTCTAAATTTTCAAGTTTGTAAATTTTTGAATTGTCAAATTTCTAAATTCCCAAATTCCTAAGTCCCAAATTCCCAAATTTCCAATCTTCCAAATTCTCAAATTCTCAAATTCTCAAATTCCCAAGTTCCTATGTTCTCAAATTCCCAAGGTCTGAAATATCCCAACTCTCTAAATTCCTAAACCCTAAAATAAACCATTAAATTTCCAAATTTTCAAACTTCCTAAATTTCTAAGTTCTAAATTCTTAAATTCCCTAATTTTTAAGTTAACAAATTCTCAGATTCCAAATTTCCCAATTTCCCACATTCCTAACCCCCAAATACCCCAGTCCCCAAATTCCTAAATTCTCAAGTTCCCAAATTTAGACTTTAGCTCCCTAAATTTCCAAATCCCAAAATAAATGATCAAATGATAAAATTCTAAAATTTTCACCTAGTCAAACTAAGCTTAAAATTTTTTCCCCACGTCGCCATTTTCCCTAGTGAACCAAACATTTCCCAACATTCCTCCAATGCAAATCACCGGAAAACTGCTGAAAACGCTTGTGTAAGAATTAAAAGAATTCCAATGAATTACGATCGAAAGGAAACTTCCTACGAGACCAACCAGTTTTTCTAGTAGGTACACATCGGCACCATGAGGCACCACACTGGCAACGATGGGTAACGACCACAATGACAATTCGATGCACGTGCACGGTCGACACGTCATGGCAATGGACGGTTTGTCGGTACCTAGGTGGGGATTTAAGGAGGGGCAGAGAGGGAAAGAGAAAGCGGCAAGAAAACAGTACAACGAAACGAGATGAAGAAGAAGCCTGCACGGACGTAGCGTGTTTAGTCAACCTGGTGGCGCTGAACAACCAACTGTCGGCAGCGAAGAAGCTGCCAGCCGACGTCGAGGAACTCACGGTTTTTGGTGCAGCGAACTTGCAGTGCCGTCAGTCGTGTTGTTTCGCGTTTATCCTGGATTGTTCCGGTGCGAGTACGCGAATTTAAACGGGACGTGATAAGTGCGTAACTTCCAACGGGAAATATCGTTTCACCTGGACGACGCGATGGTCAGCAAGGATCCGAAGATAGTCACCGCGGAGATGGCGAACCCCTATCTTAAACCACCGAGCATGTCGACCAGCCAGTCTTTAAAGACTTTTATTTACAATCGCGAAACAGGCGCGGTTATGGGAAGAACAGCCAGTAGCTGGGGTAAGTTATACCGTAAGCGAGACACGAACGCAAACCGACGCGCTTTGGGCGTTTTCTTCGCTGAGTCCAGCCGCCTAGTGCACAGTGTTTTCGTATTTTCGCTAAATCCGAGCGGATCGATCGTCTCGATCGATATAATCGATTTCCTACGCTTGCTTGTTTATTCTTCTATCGCTACGGTTACGCTCGTTGTGTATATTTTTTTCATTTATGTCACTGTTTCGGTGAAACGTTCTGGGCACGCTCGAAATGCGAGCGTTTCGATCTTTGATAGATTTTGGGGAACTTTATCGCGCATGCGCAAGGCTGTATGAAATTTATTTTTGTGTTTATTGCGATTTGTAAATATTTGTAAGAACTTGTAAACAGGTCCTTTTCATTGTAGTAGATTTGTAATTTATGTCTCTTACTACGCAGTGAAAGTTGAAGTATAGTACGTGGAGACCAATTAGTGCAATACTTTTTTTAAAGACGTACGTATCGATTAAACACGTGTAACAATGAAATATTTGAATCAACTAAATATTTGAATAAAATATTATACATTTGAATTTTTTGAATTGAATTTGTATATAATAAATTAAAGCGATTGATTCAATGAAATAGAAGTGGTAATTACTTTTGTATTTTTATTGCTTTGTATACTTTTGTTTGGAATCAATTTTGGCGCTAAATTTAAATCAAGCTTGACAGGCGGAATCAGGTACTTCAAATACTTCCTCCTTTACCCTTTTCAACAAACAACGAAAATTATTAAAATTATATGCATTAAATACTTGTATTGGGTTTGGAACATTATAAATAAAGGATAATTATTAATTATTGAAAATTAAAAACAGATAGTTTGATCATATTCTCTTCTTTGAAATCTTGTTTCTTTTTTAAGGAAAATAAATGTATTATTAATGTATTATACTATTAATTAGTTAATAAAAGTTTCAAAAGTGATTAGAAGAGTTATTTATTTTCTAATAAGAAAAAGCAACATAATAATATAATAAAAAAGTAATATAACACAACATAATCAGATGACATCACAAGTAATGTTAACTGTTGAAGCAATTGTAGTTCAAATGGTTCTTGCACCATCTTCTAATAGAAAATTACTTCATTCATTCGAATAAATTGTTTAGTTGCAAAAGAGCACGTATATTTGTATCCTGTTTAAACATATTTATAAAATGAAACGATAAAATTGTTTGTCAATTTGCACAAAAGTGACACGAATGCAATGACCTTAATTGCTGACACTGATGAATTCAAATATTTCGGACACTTTATATTCATTAAAAAGTATGACAAAAATTTGATAAAAATTCATTGTAAAACTCTGTAAAAATTTAACCTTCAACTGTAATAAAATTTCTTTTATATCTGATCATTGAACAAATTAACATAAATTATATAATTTTTTCCTAATTTTGTAACCTTTAATAGAGTAACCTCATAGATTTTATTTACATCTAAGTACCAGTGCTTTTGGTTAAAAATCTTACCCAACATTAATTTCGTTTACGAAACCATAGGCACCGGAAAGAAACTATTTAAAGGTTCGTATTCAGCATAATAAAATAACAGTCCACCGAAGGTTACAAAATTAGATACACCTTGAACGATATTGCGTTAAAATAGAAAGTTTCAAACTTCCCTACCATGTTCCTCACAAAAATTAATCTCTGTCGCATCATGTAGCGATCTAGTGACAATGACTGTTTCAATAGTAAATAGAAGACCCGCAAAAACTTGAGATATAGACCGAATTATGAGATTACTTCTTTCAGTTAATTAGCTCAGAAGCCTGTCATTGTTTTGCAGTTTCTTGTAAATTGTATTCACTGTTCAACTCTATCCTACTATTTATCCTTTCCTCGGTATTCACCTTGATACTATTACCCTTCTGTGCATGCTCCAGTTACATAGCCTTCGTAATGTATCTTCATATCGATTCATCGATATTACGATATATCGACGCACATTTGTAAACGTTACTCGTATCTATTCTAATTTATCTATATATTTATGTTATGAAGAAAAATATCCCTTTAAATCTTAGCTTTCAGCGCGACGTGCCATTTCTCGCCACGCGATTTGAATTTGGCGCCACACGATTTCTCTACTTACTCTTACAGCCGCTTTTTCGCTACCATAGGTTTTAAAATCGGGTGACATCGACCTTCCTGGTATGCAAATGTTTATGATACGTAGAATGTTCTAAGATGGAAATAATTTTTCTTTCATGTATCGTTACAATTAAATATAATTTTTGTATCCTCATAAATGACAGTTAAGTCTTGAAATGACTTGTGTAATCAATTGAAGATTTATTTGCATAAATCGTTATAAATCTACATAGTTATATTTGTTATAATACATAGAAATAATAAGTGAGTTACCCATATATCATTATATATTTTCAAAATTAAAAATTTGATAACTCAGAAGTGTGACAATTTAAAAAATTGAAAATTCAAGTGAAGTTATATTAATATAAAAATGTAATTGAATTTTTAGTAGTTAAAAAATGTTTGTTCTTCGGATAAAACCACTAGCCGTCATTGTTCAAACAGAATCACTGCTACGAACCGAGCGTTCTAATTTATGGTCTATAATTTGCTTTTATAGTCTATAAAAGTCCATCCGCAAAATTATAGCGGTGCAAACGTAACACGACGATCGTGGCGGGCAATGATTAGGTACGCGCACATTTTCGACGGATCAGCTATAAAATAAGGACGACGTTGAATGAAAAAAAGAAATAAAGGAAGGGAGAGAAAAAGACGGAAGCGCGAAGCGCGGCTAATTCGCGGCGCACACAACGTTTGCTCGGCTGAATGGCAATTGTTAAACTTCCTTTAGCGCAAACGTGTACAACGAGGTCAATTGGCGTTAAATGGAAGCATTACGGCATTATGTAACTTAGGGCCATTCCGAAGGGTACACCCACGCGACCATAGCTTTCGTTCAACATTGTTCTCTTCAAAATCTTCAAAATCTTGTTTCAAACTTGATATGTACGTTGCGCAGCTTGCTGATAACCTTCCGGTATTTTGTATTATATTTTTTCCTGGAAAATGAACGGTGAAAATAAATCTTGTATATGAAGTATTTCGTGTATGGTATATATTGAATTTATCAGAAAAATGTATATATTTATCGGTGATATTTGAATTATTATAAAATTAATTTTACTATGGTGTTATGTTTGTAAGGGGTAGATAAAGTTTGAGTCGTAGTGCAAAGTTTTTATAGTTTCAAGGTTACTTTATAAATGTAAACAAGTTTTAATTTATAATTTAAAAATTTGGGAATTGGAGATTTATAGACTTGAAATGTAGAAATTAAAAATTTAGGAACTTAAAGCTTAGGATTTGAAGATTTAGAAAATTAATATATCGAAATGGAAAATTTAGGAACTTAAAGGTTAGGAATTGAATATTTAGAAACTTGAAATTTGGGAATTAAAATTTTAGAAACTTGAAATTTGGGAATTAAAATTTTAGAAACTTGAAATTTAGAAACTAAAAATTTAACAACATGAAATTTTAATAACTTGAAATTCAGAAAATAAAAATTTTTGAATTTAGAACTTTGATAATTTGCAGAATAAGAAATAAAGTACAACTTTTGCAAATTAAGAAATCTGAAAATATATAAATATAAAACTTGTAAATATCATAATGGAATAATTTAGAAATAGCGTAAACAATATTCAGTATTTGAAATTTGATTAAAAACGTCTGGAATATGATTTTGAGTAACACAAAGGCTTATAGTTGTCCTTTTCGCGAAGTCCTTGTGATATAATGGATATCGTATTACGCGAAAGAACGTCGGTAATATAATATAGTGGTTAACTGTTAAGATTTCGCTTATCGTCTTTCTGTATGATCCTACAAATGGCTCGTGGTAGAAACAAACAAATATAATTATGTTCAGATACGACGGTGGATTAATTAACGGAAATAGAACGTTTTTTATACGAACTAGCTAGTTAAAAAATTATTATTTAGTCCATTATTATGAATACTATGATAATAGTGTTATCTCATTACAATTTATATTGGCATTTTTAAAATTATTATTGAAAATTTTTAAAATAAAAATTTTGTAATTGAAAGTGATTTATAGTAATTTATAGCAAATGTATAATGTATGCTGAAATTTTAAGAGGTTTTGAAATTTTCATATTTGTGTAAACAAATATTTAATTTGGATAATTTGGCAATTTCAAATTTGAGTAATTTAGAAATTTCAAAGGGTAATTTGGGGATGAGGAGATTTGGCTAATTTGAAAATTGGAAGATTTGTAAATAGGGGAATTTGGAATTGGGAAATTTTGAGATTTAGAAGGTTGGGAATTTGGAAACTGGGTTATTTTGAAATTTGAAAAGTTGGGAATTTGGAAACTGGGGAATTATGAAATTTGAAAAGTTGGGAATTTGGAAACTGGAGAATTTTGAAATTTAGAAGGTTGAAAATTTAGAAACTAGGGAATTTATCAATAAGGGAATTTGGAATTGAGAAAGTTTGAGATATAGAAGATTTGGGAATTTGGAAAGTGGGGAATTTGTAACTAGGGGAATTTGGAATTTGAAAATTTTGCAATTTAGAAGGTTAGGAATTTGGAAAGTGGGGAATTTGTAACTAGGGGAATTTAGAAATATGAAATTTTGAGATTTAGAAGGTTGGGATTTTGGAAACTAGAGAATTTATAACTAGGGGAATTTGGAATTGGTAAATTTTGAAGTTTGAAAGCTTGAAAACTTGAATATTTTGCAATTTTACAATTTAAAATTTGTAAAATTTACCTACTGGAAAAATTAAAATTTCTTTGATTTGAGATTTGATAATTTGGAAGTTGGAAAATTTGCACATCTCAAATGTTACAAATTATATAATTTGAAATTCGAAAATTTAGTACAGTAAATTTGTACTTGAAACCTTTTAACATTCCGCCCATATACTAACCTTTTATAGGTTATGTCCGAAAAAGAAATAACTTTGTAGCCACCCCAATCTAAACATTTCCACATATTTCCACAATAATATTAATATTCTCATTTCAAGACTAACCTGTAAGAATAACGTGTATTTATGTAATGCGCAACGAAGAATTTTTTTAGAACCACTCTAATACATGTCTTCCTAAAAGAACGCGTTAAAACACAGATTAAATCTGAGCAAATCACAATGATTTTTGCGATACACCGAGGTCTGGGTTAGGGCTAATGGAATTAATCGGCGCGTGGTGGCATGCTGTATAATATAGGTTAATTGCATTAATCGCTGGGTCAATTCAAAGGAAGATATCCAAGCGTCTAGTCAAGTGGAACAATTCAATTACGTACCGATTCAATGTCTGACAAGGTCGCTTCTGCAATTCCACTCTTCGTCGAACTGACCTCCCGGCTATATTTTTTACAGGTGCTTACAAATTGTGACAACCTGTCATTATTTTATGATTAATCAATCGTTTGTTGATGTTATTGTCAAATTTTTATATTTGACTACTTGTTACATATTTTACATACATTTAATCTCTATAATATATTTATGATAGTTTATATGGTTTCTAGATTGGAAATTAAATATTTTTGAAAACATTAAATGTACATTTCTGCAGATTAAATTTCTTAAACATTAAAAATGTACAATTTTGTAGTTAGAAATTTAGAAATATTAAGTGTACAATTTTGCAGTTAAAAATTTAGAAATATTGAATGTATAATTTTGCAGTTAAAAATTTAGAAACATTAAATGTGGAAATTTACAACTATTAAATGGAAATGTAAAAATATAGAAATATCAAATTTTTTAACTTTCAAGCTTTTTAATATAAAAATTTAGAAATATAGAAAATTTTAAAGAGGAATATTTTTGTACTTTTGTTGAATTATTATCAACTTTTAAAGTTCTCAATTAAACAATTTAGAAATTCATAAGTTTAGAAATACAAAATATTTTGAACACTAATATTTCCATTTTGAATAAAACATATTGACATGTTATTCCACAATATTATTGTAGATCAAAATCTGTTTCAACCATAGTAATTTTCAAATTAGATAAATTAAAAAGTATCAGATATGAAATTTCCAAATTAAAAAATTTTCAAATTAAATGAATTGTAACTATGACTTATGAAATTTACAAATTTAAAAAATTTTAAACTAGATAAAGTAAAACATATCAGATATGAAATTTAAAAATAAAAAAATTTTCAAACTAGATAAATTAGAAACTATCAGTCATGAAATTTTCAAATTTTTTAAATTTGCAAACTAGATAAGTTAAAAATTTTGAAATATAAAATTTTTAAATCTTAAACAACTCATTATGTAACAATAACAAGTAATATACAAAGCAATAAAAGTAAATAACCATAGTACTACGAACACATAAATCACGCATTATGAATCTCATTCATGCAATAACTATTTCTCACAGAAATATGTACAATGCGCAGTCATGTGAAACTGTGTGAAACGAAACGGAAATGTATGAATTGAAAACGGAAATATAGAAAACGAGACTCGGATGCAGCACGATTGAGTTCATTCCAGTTGCTAATTTCGATCGTAAAACATATTTCGCGTGCCCTTTGGTTTTTCACAAAATTGTAAACATTAATGCAGCATGTAATCATTAAGTATTATTTTATTATATTTCAGCATTGATTAGTGAAATTTTAGGAGATGCAGAATTTTGGGATTTGGGAAATTTGGGGAATTTTAAATTTTGGGAAATTTGGGGCACTTGAGAAATTTAGAATTTTTGGAAATTTGGGGGATTTTGGGGAATTTAGAATTTAAGGAATTTAGTAATTTCAGAATTTGAGGATTTGTGGAATTTGGGGAATTTGGGAAATTTGCTAATTTGGGAATTAGGGAACTTAATAGTTGGGTAAATTCGAAATTTGAAAATATGGAAATTGGGGAGATTGGAATTTGGACTTTCAGAAATTGAAAAATTTGAAATTTGGTAACTTGGACATTGGGAAAATTGGAATTTGGAATTTCAGAAATTGGAGAATGTGGAATTTGAAAACTTGGAAATTAGGGAAATTAGAATTTGGAAACTTGGGAATTGAGAAATTAGAATTTGGTCATTTGGAAATTTAGAAAATTAAAATTTGGAAACTTTGGAATTGGAGAAATTGGAATTTAAAGACTTTTGAATTAGAGAATTGGAATTTGATACCTTGGAAATTGAAATATTGGAAAGTTGGAAAAATTGAAATCCAGAAACTTATAAATTAGAATTTGAAAAATTGAGTATCTGAGGATTTGCCATTTTAACAATCTAAAATCACTGAAATTTAAAAATATGTAAATTCAGGAAATGAAAACTAGAAAACTTAAATAAAAGTGACTTAACAATATCCTCCACCACTACATCCTCACAAAAATTGCAAGCAATCACCTTGAATGCCAGTATAATTAGATATAAAGCTTGAAAAACAGAAGCATCTTACTGTAACTCGAGAAAAACAACAACAGATTGACATACTAAGAGAGATGTGTTATTAGATCAAGAGAAGCTAATTAAATTTTGTTTTGCAGGTAAAATAGGATTGTTCTATTTGATATTCTACGGAGTACTGGCTGCATTGGTTGCAATTTGCTTCTGGGGTTTCTTTCAAACGTTGGATCCAAGGATACCAAGGTGGCAGTTGGAACGCTCAATAATTGGAACAAATCCTGGTAAGATAAACAGATCTAAACATTACTTTATATCCGTAATGATTAACTGAGATGAAGGTTCATTTACTTGGGGAGTTTGTCACGTTCAATGAAATGGTATTTCAAATAATTTTATGTTCAATTTTGTTTATAGGATTGGGATTCAGGCCACAGCCTCCACTAGAAAACGTGGAGAGCACGTTGATTTGGTACAGGGGAACCGACAGCGAAAACTACAAATACTGGGTTGATTCGTTGCAGGCATTCTTGAAAGGTAATATATAAAATTAACAATTTGTTTCAAGTACCATTTCTAATAGTTTTTTTGTAATGTTTCAGTGTGAAATAGGTACACGACTATTACTATTCATTTCATATATTCTCATCTCTCATGACTTAAAATGTAACATGAAACATGTATTTTATATTTGCTTTTTATGTACATGTAACATAGTTTCATTATTTTCTTTTATTTCTACTGGAAGAGTAGATTTAGTGAAACAGTAATATGATTGAGTAGTAATATGATTATGTAGTGTAATGGTAAAATAGTAAAATTGTAAAGAGGTAAAGAATAAAATAGCAAAATACTAAGGTAGTAAAATTGTGTAGTAGAAGAGGTGGAATAATAGTATAAATAAATAGTAATATTGGTGAAGGAAAATAGTGGAATAGTAGTATAATAGTACAGTAGAAAAATGAAGTAGGGAAACAGTAGAATATTAAAGTAGTTATATAACAGAATAGAATACTAAAGTAGTAAAGTAGCTAGGTATTAAGGTAGTAAAGCAGTAAGCTAGTAAAGTAATAAACTATTAAACTAGTAAAGTAGTAAAGCAGTAAGGTAGTAAGGTACTAAAGTAGTAAAATAGTAAAGTAGTAAGATAGTAAAGTAATGAGGTAGTAAAGTAACAAACTAGTAAAGTATAGTAGTACATTACTACATTAGTAATCTAATAAGCTAGTAAAGTACTAAAATAGTAAAATATGTACACCTAAATCTTCTTCTACATTCACGAATATATGAAACTTTAAACCCACCTCTTTATCTTAACGCACAAACGACGCAAATATTTAGCGGTAGGGAATTTAATCTTCAGGAAACTCTTTATGAATACCTAAGCACTAGCATTACGGTACAAGAGCGATTATATTACACGATCAATAATCTTTCAGACTATATAACGCCAGGCTCGATTCCTGGTCTTGGTGCAAACATTAACAAATGCGACTACAATCAACCCCCTCCTCCTGGTAAGGTCTGCGATGTCGACGTGAAGAACTGGAATCCTTGTACTAAAGAGAACCAATACAATTATCATAAATCCGCTCCGTGCATATTCCTCAAGCTTAACAAGGTATATTTGTCTTCTTAACAAGACTAACAAGTAAACAAACTTATGGAGCTAAACTTCATCTTATTTAATAAGTAGATATATTTTATTAAAATCAATCAATGTTTTCAGATATACGGCTGGAGACCAGAGTTTTACAATGATACAGAATCGCTGCCAGAGAAAATGCCATTGGAACTGAAGAAACATATCCTCAGTGTGAAAGCAAATAATAGTTTAGAACTTAATACGGTTTGGGTATCTTGCGAAGGAGAGAATCCGGCGGACCAAGAAAACATTGGACCAATTCGTTACATACCACGAAGAGGTTTCCCGGGTTACTTTTATCCGTTCGAAAATTCTGAGGGTTATCTCAGTCCCTTGGTAGCTGTTCACTTTGTTCGACCACGCAGTAAGTATCAAGAAATGGGTTTAGTGTGATAATGTTGCTAGGATTCACGACGTTCGTTTCCTTCTAACCAGAAAAAGAACCGTTCATTTATTTTCTACTGTGGAAGATCAATGTAAAATTTATCTTACTTCTAAATCTTCTTATTTGAACATTTTGAACTTTTTAAATTTACAAATCCTCACAGATTAAGTTTTCAGTATTTTAAGATCATTTAAATCTTCAAATCTATAAATTCTCAAGCTTGCAAATCCTTACACAAATATTCATTTTCACAATATCAAACAATATACTAACATTTGTGTCAATTAATTTCAATAATTTTTTACAAATTCCACCTTAAATAAATTATGAAGTTCACGAAACAGGTCTTTAAATATTTTTCAAGAAGTAGTTAAACCTGAATGAAATAAGATTAAATGAAACTTGATGAATAACTAATGAAATTTCTGTTTGCAGCTGGAATTTTAATAAACGTAGAATGCAAGGCGTGGGCGAAAAACATTCAGCACAGACGCCACGAGAAATTAGGCGCAGTTCATTTCGAGTTGATGATAGATTAACGTCGTCCGCATAATTGTCCTGGCCTCTTCTTTGTTAACATACAAAAAAATGGATGCGAATCTCGTGTTTTCTGACTCTTCGACATAGCTGGACGCTTTTGAATCGATTAACGAAGCCGTCAGAAATCGATAACTGCTGCCAAAGTGGATGATACTTTTGCCGAGTACAAAGTTAAAAGGATTTTTAATTTGAAATCCGATCTATATAAATTTTTAGAGGTTATCTGCAGTTTCGATCACATTCGTTTAATTCGGGGGTAATTTTCATTAACTTAACATGAAAAACAAATATATATATTTATTGTACGTGAATATATGGGTATATTTTAACGTTAAATAATAACTAAATGATACTCATGTGGTAAATGTTATCAGTAAATATTAGATATATTTCTTTTTCTCGATGTCATAGTTAAATGTAACGGACATTTATGTCTATGTATCGTGTTTCTATTGTTAAATTATGATTGATCGATATTTGTATTGGCTCAGTTCAAATTTCGATTCTGTAAATTTGTTTTAAAAAAATATAAATATTCTTTACTTAAAATGTTTATCTTTTTGCAAATCAAGAGTGATTATCGACAACTAAATCGTGAGCTGATTTTAATGTTTAACAAGGGAACAATAATATTTCGTTCTAAAATAATTAAACGTGCCTTATGTAAATTTGAGATTATTAGAATTGCGTACAGATAACTTTGCTTAGAAAATGAGCACTCGAACTAGCTAGTTATCAATAATTTTCCAATGTTTTATCATGAAAATTTGTATGTACTAATGCCTATTAAAAACAGAATAGATCTCTTAAACGTGACAAAGATAATATATGTTTCGCTTCTAAAGTATGTAAACGTATTGTATGTGTATACATGTATTTTTATAGATAAGATTTTCTCGCCTGAAGTTCTCGTCGACTACTTCGATCAGACATTTAATTCCAAAACAGTGAAAATCTTTTAGAAAATTTTTACCCCTTTAAAAGAATTATTTAGACAAAATCGTATTACGACAAAATTATGTATTTAATCGTACAGTTAGTTTCACTTTAATACAATTATAACTGGATGTAGAGAAGCTAATGTTTTTTTTTAATTGTTACAATTATTTTAATTTATTACTGCATTTATCTTTCATTATTAAAGCGGGTAATACAGTGTTATTTTTATTGCGAAAAAAAAACCGTCAGAGATTAATGGCAAACACTGATAGTATTAATTTCCCAGAATATCACAAGGATTATAATTTCAAGAAACTGACCGTTTTGGAATTCTTTCGAAAATTTAGCTAAGCGGACATTTTGTGAATTCTTTGAATTTTAGAGTGTCATTTATATCTGTGTATTTGTAAATATATTTAAAAAATATTGTGTATATTTATAAAGTTGTCGCGCGATTTTGATGTCTTGTTGCAGGGGCGTAGGCAGGGGGGTAAAAAAGGGGTGCATACCCTTCTCAAAAAATAGAGTGACGTTCTATTCCTAGAAGACAAATATTGAATTTTACCCATTTTATGGGAAATCTAATCACAAGTCTTGTGCCTAAAAATAAATATGTTAAGATTGAATAGTTTAAAGTAACATAATAAAATTTACCTGAAGATAAATTTTCCCCCCTCTTGTTTGATAACCTGACTACGCCCATGTGTCTTAATTGCCGGCAATATATTCCAATGATGTATAAGTTACAGCTGCCAGGATACATTTAAATTTATGGAAGTATAACTATGTAACATGGTAAATGTACTGGAGGCCTAAAGTCAGTTTCATGTTTTCAAAATACTTGAACAATGTGCTAAAAATAAACCATCGTTTTACAAAAGACGAAATACTTATTGTATTATTTCTGTAACACCTTAACAACCTGTCTATAAAATTATAGTTGAATAGCTTACTTTTTGTAAACTATATTTATTGCTAGCATTAAAAGGAACAAATTATGTTTTATAGTTCATTATCAGATGCTGACATGCAATTAAAGTATATTAGTAATTTAATTGGATAGCATGATTTGACACTTTTTATTATCTTTCATTTTTTCAAACATTTATATATACATCTTTTTGAAGTATTTATAAGTGAATGATTATATGAAAAATTTGTTCACATTTAAAAATTGTTTTTATTTATACAACAGGATACATTATTACCAGCACAAAATGCTGTTAAACAATCTTCTATGGGAACGTTATAAACGACATAAGTACATACATTTAATAAGTACCTATATCTGACAACAGGGGTGTGTATGACCTTTGGAACATTGATTTGTTCCAAACTTTGTACAATTATGAGGTCCCAAAGCAACAATTAAAATTGAAAAACATAAAATTGTGAAGACATGAATATTTAAAGATTTAAGAATAAATAAGTATGAAAATTGTCAAATCTAAAAGTTGAAAAATTAGAAAATCTTACAATGTAAATATTTGGAAAGTTTTTAATGTAAAAAAATTATGAAATACTTTTGGATCCATCATAACTGAACAAAAGATTGGATAAATCAATGTCCTGAAAGTTATACGTTCCTATTGTAAGCATAACTCTTAAAATAACTGGCGATGTTTAGTGCTGCAACATTGAGATCCTAATATCTTCTTTCTGTTTAATCCTCATTTTTAAATGATCACTGTATCACGTCAGGGCATATTATTTACAATATTTTATCAAGACAACAACCACAATATATTTTACTTATTGCAATATTTCTTAAACTATAACAATATTCATCTGAAGTCACTTGATTTGAATGAAACGTTAAAATTATTGAAAGAGATTCAACATAGATTTTGTTCTTACATCTGTGTGTAATTCTGCAAAGTATCTAGATAATTTATAACATAATAATTTAAGTGTAATATAATACAAACAGCTGTATTCAATCAGTATATGAATTTAAACAATACTTTTTAACCAAGATTCATTTGATAAAATATAATATACAGAAAAAGTCTTGAAAATAGAATTGAAAATTATAGATTTTTGTACATTATGTTAATTCATCTCTCAATTTCATTTAAAACCTCCTAGATAAAATATGTCAAGAATACTTTACATTATGAAGTATCTAAAATACTTAAATATTATTTAGTTGCAGTATAGCTATGTCTAAGCTGATGAACTGATATAAATAAACGAAGTTAAAAAGATAACGAGGTAATAATATATTTCTTTACATCTATTTATCACGGTAAATCACAAAGTAATGATACTACGCGTTGCCTCTTCTCCTGATTTTTACCCGCGTAATAATTGTATTGTATGAAATTACAAAATAGTGGTTCAAAATTGTTCAAAAAAGTTAATCTGTATAATATAAGTACCAGCAATTGAATTTTTCTTTAAAATGTGAAATGAATCTTTTTCTCATGAAATATAATAGATTGTCTAGTTTCGTTTTTTAAAATAATGATAATGAATTTCATTTTTACAGCAATGTTCGCCAATAACTCAAATAATCTTCGTTCAAGTTTGAGTATAGCTCGTGTTATATTGCTATCAACTATAGTTATTGGCAATATAAGAACTTCCATAAATGTATGATGTTGGAAGTTTCAAAAATTACCAATTTTTTATTTCCTAAATTTTATAACTTGAAAGTTTATAAATTCAAAAATTCGCAATTGAAAATTTCTCAATCTATAAATCTACAAATGCGAAGTTCAAAAATCTAGTGTAGGTCCCTGAAATGAGGGGTAGCTAACGTTATTCAGAATCACGTCAGCTACCCCCATTTCAGGGATCTACACTAGTTGTGACCCCCTGTATTTCTAAATTCGTAAACTTGAAAATTGCAAGTATACAAATTTAAAAATCTTCAAACAACAAATTTTGCAAATTTACAAACCCGAAAGCGTGAAGATTTGAAATTTAACAACGCTAACGAAGGCACTGCGAATGGAATTTGTGTACATAGCATTAATTCTTCGAATGCTACTCACAACACGTGTAATATATTGTACATATGTAATCTTGCCGAAATACTAGTAGTCACTAGTATCTGAATTTCACCTGAGCACGTAAAAATTGTTCCTTGACCCTCAAGTGTTTTGTCGATTTGTCGGACTTTGTTTTTACCGGCTAATTTCCCTATGGATAATTTTTTACGACGAACGAGCTGTTCTGTACATCTTTTCGTCGATCATTAACTCAAAATGTACAGAACCACTGCCTCTTTTTCCTTTAGCCGATGAATATATTATGTTCTTTGCCCAGGCTCGACACTGAACGTTGATTATTCTATTCCCTGGAAAGATGGAAACATTATTTCGTTACATTACTTGCAAAATTCACAATATTTCTGGTATAATAATACTGTAAGGGTTCAAGGCTTCATATCTCTTCTCTCAATGAATGACAAGATTTTATTGATATTGAAATTTTAATATGTTTATGTTAACACATTAGCATTTTTGTAAAGATCCAAAGTGCCAAAACTGAAAAATTGTAAAATTGTAAAACTCTAAAATTCTAAAATCCTGCAATTCCAAAATCGAAAAATTGTAAAGTTCGAAAATACTAATAATCTAGAAACTCAAGTTTAAAATTATTTTCTACAGTATTGCATCGTTTCTCATATTCACTGTTGCATGGATAATAATCATAAGAAGACAGCTGTATAGCGTAGTAAAGATGACACTTGTATCTATTTTAAAAGTGTTTTTAAGCCGATTACACGACAGATTCGACATGACAATGCACACTGGTTTTTACTGGTTTTATCAGGAATGTATACTTTTCTTATCACACACGTGGATCAGTCTTAAGCAACTAGTTCAAGTAATATATCAGATCTTCAACATGTGTCTTGGTCCACTTTCAAAACGATCATATGATTATTTTACTCACTGCGGCGACGAAATTGTTTGATACGAAAAATTTTGACCTTTTAAAATTGTATTAAATATTCTACGTACTTTAAAAAATATTATCAAATATTCCACACTCTTCCGAAAAATAACATGAAACGTTCTACACGTTTTTGAAAAATAATACGAAATGTTCAAGATTTCTTGACAAATAATTTCGTATATCGAATATCCTTTGAAAATGAAAATTAATATTGGACGTTTATGAAATAAAAACTTACTTGCTGGTCGAAGAAAGTGTACAGCGACAACGGGGCTTAAGTAACCAGGAATATTTTGATAGGGATAATAATATCCTGGAAATCCATGACTCTTAGGATAGTAATCCAGTTCTCCAATACTTTCGTTGTCGTGTGGATCTTCGCCTTTACAGGATACCCACACGGTATTCAGCTAGAATCACAAAACACGCGAATATATACAGTGTTTTTCTTTATACTAAAATTACAGTACGGTCAAATGACCCTCTTACAAATTTATCGTTTTAATTTACAAAATCTGTTAAGGTTTTCTTGAAATGCTGTATGGATTGCAAGAAAAGAAAAGAACCCGAAGATATTCAATGAAACTGAATATAATTAAAGTAATACGCTTAATTGAATGTAATTAATTTTTATTTGTACAGATGTCAACCCACGAGTTGGCGCGTGTCCCAAAGTAAAAGAAGCTCCCCACCGTGAACACTTAGTAACATTTCGGCAAATAAGAATAATAATGACAATAATAACTGTTAAACGCAAATACTAGTATCTCACTCACTCTCCAGACGTTTGACTGCCATTCTTTCTCACCTAATTGGTGTCTACTCGAGCCAATTACCGCCGAAAATACGTGTGAAGCGTCTATTTGTCTATTCTGACCAATTGGAGCCGTCGTCTGAACACCTGGGTCAGCCCCCCGCCAACTCGAGGGTTGACATCGGTATATAATAGTTAAAATGGTCTCTAGTTATAAAATAGAATTATAGAAATGACAAAGTTTTAAGTAAATAATGCAATAAATATAGATTTACTATTGTTATTAATACTATAACTCAAATTATACCACAGTAGAGGTATAATTTGAATAATAGTACTAATAGCATATAAATTATACCTCTACTGTAATAATAATATTCATAATACTATTAATACTATCTAATAATTGTAATATTTATTATAATAAGTGACTACAGGCGTAATTATAGTTGTAGTATTTTAAAACTTCTAATATAACTTGCATAACAGCAATTTTCAATTTTGAACAGTTATACTTGAAAAATAGTGCAACAGACAATAAACTTAGTGATTATTCTTTTGATTATGCTTTTTAAATATTATTATAATAATGTTAATTAGTAGCAATTAGATGTTAACCATTCATTGACTAATAAATAAAAATACTAACCCAAGTACTGTTGACCAACTTAATGTGCTCAACCAGCGCTGCCGGCATTTCTGGTGGTAAATTCTCGGTGTCGTTATAATACTCCGGTACCCAGCCGTATATCTGTTAAACAAATTTTATTTTATTATTTCATGTTGCAAGTAATGAATGAAGTTGAATATTTATAAATATATTTGTAAAACATGATGCTTTACAAATTTTATAATTTAATACTTTTTACACTTTCAAATATTTCTGTTATTTTAGGATATCTAATTGATTATTATTAAACATATGTAACAAACATGTACCCTATTTAACTTGATGAAAATACAAGGCGCCGAATTGTTGAAGCCGTATTGTTGAGACGGTGAACATGGTCCCCATTTGTCGACTTCGACCGCACATACGTGTCCAGGCTTCACAGTTGTATCATAATTACAAATTTGTTGATTTCTACCACCATTCGGTAAAAGCGACGAGTTACGGTACTCTGCGAAAAATATTAAAGAAATGTTTCTGTTAAATACTCCCAGAATAATTGTTTAGTTTATTTAGATTTAAGTAAAATTGTATAAGTCTGGGTTATGTCTGTTGTGAATGCAAAATATCCATTATTCGTCATGTTGTAAATTGTGTGCGATTGTGTTGTCATTGCGAAGGTAGCGATAAGTTTATCTGTAGCGGATAGCGAAGAAAGAGCGAGTGAGATAACATTTGTAAATTTTTTAGAAGCAATGCCTAGCTAGCGATCTCTTTGCGTGCACAGGGGCGCTTCGGTGAACCTGGGGCCGTTCAAGCCACGGCTAGGGGAGGTACTGTATGTATCGCCCTAAGGCCGGTATGACCCTGAGAGGGAGATGACGAACGTCTCCGGTAGTGAGGGACAGTGGACGGGGAACCACTTGGTTGTTCTCCGGTACCTTTAGGCTGGTCTAGGAGTAAAGCCGCTATGGTAGATAAGGGTAGTATTCGGGAAAAGTCAGAAAAGCCCGAGCGTGTTGCGACCATTGCTTGGGCGAAGCCCGAATATTCATTATTAACTTGTCGGTTGAAGAAGCTAGAAGCTATCTGGCTCGCTCTTGCAAGAAACAGAAATTACATTCGAAAAATCAATTATATTTCCTAACGTTGTATTGTTCCACGATAATAATACTTTTGCGTTCAATACATTTTGTAAATTCAATCTATGATTTGTACAATTTGTATTTAAATGATTTTGTACATAAAGTAATTAATCCCGATTTTGCTTTCTTCTTATTCTTGTTAGTTTATCAGTTAACAGTGTCATAACATGTGTCATAAATATAGATACCTTTTAAAAAGTCATTTAACAAGCCAGTCCACTTTTGCACCGAACTGGGATCCGACGAACTGTACCAAATTAATGACCTTTCGTCGGTGTTGTTGGAAATCGGTCGAAATCCTAGACCTGTTACATATTGGTACATTATTAAATAGGAACAATATAACTTTCTGTTAGTTTGATTTAATAAATGAGAGATACACTTTGAGCTGGAATCGTCTCAGTATAGTGTACATGTAGAATTTCAATATTGTTTTATAAATGTAAGGCTAGGTACGTGTATGTAATAATTTACTATTTCATTGCCTGATTTTAAGGAATGTTTTCAAGAACGTGTCGATGAAAATGAACAGCGGTATGATGAAATATAACATTCAGGTTCGCCGTAAGCGAAACGTCAGAACCAATTTGCTATTTTCGTATACTGTTCATATCCGTGTATTTTTAACTCATTTCATGCTTAATTTTTTCTTAGTATGAATTCTTTTAGGACGTAACAGCTTTGGTTTCTAACGTAAGAGGTTGCTTCGAAATATCCTTCTCTTATTTTTCACTAATTATTTTAAGATAATAGAACATTTTAAGTGGTCAATAGAATGTTTGCTAAAAGATATTAAAAAATGGGTTAAAAACTTGTTTTAGATTTAATATTAGAAATTTAGAAATTTGAAAGCCATACATTATCAAATATATTAATAACAATTTTAACAACGAAAAACTATGACAATTATCACAATATAAAATCACTAATACATGAATATGAAAATTCCAAAATATTAACAAGTTCAAAAATTGTCAATAAAGTAAAAAAAATTCTTGTCCTGACAAACGTATAATTTGATAAATCCTGACAAATATATTTCACTGTAATTTGATTATGATAAATCCTTATTTGTTACGTATAACGATATGATCTACATATCTGGACCCAAGAGCTAGCGTGTAAGTTCACCTACTCAAAAAAATAACACCTATATTTCTCATATCACACAAATAATTTCTAAGTCTAAGTTCAAGATCCTTTTAAAACGTTGACTTCCTCCTTCATGCATTCACTCATTTAAGTACTATTTTTATTTCTAATAAATCTTGCCAAGTATTCACAATATTTTCTTATACAATTTACTATCCATACATTCAAGTAATTAATACGAGTATTCGCAATTAGGTAAATGAATGAATTCTTAATAATACAGGTCATAGATTCACGTAGAAATTAAACGTCACATATGGCTGACGTGACACTCAAAGCGTTAAATTATCAAAATGTACTCTGTGATTTCAAGTCTTATAATACTCTTTGGCTCAGAATCTCTGCGATACTGAACTACATACGAAATGAACTTCATGAAGTAGATTAAGATAATTTTGGACTGGATGCATGCTTCAAACGATCCATATAACGTCAGAGCCATATAGCGCTCTGACCAGATTTGTGAAGCACATTAAATTGTACATAAGAGAAGATACGGAATTAGAGTCAAACAGTATTGAGTCAAGGATAATTGATATTAAGCCGGAAGTATTAGGACGGAGGCAGATAGTAGCTGATTTAATTTTTATTTTAAAAAGCAATTTGTGCTCACTTTCACTATCAGATAATAAAACGACGTGTTTCTGATGTGCGATTAAGGTATGCTCTGGTAATTAGGAAAGTGGTCTAATTGAAATGTTAAATTCTAACAGAATCGAAGGATTATGTAGAAATTATTATAGAAAATTACTAATTGCTCGTTCAATTATATAGAAATTAGGTAGAAAATTGTATATTTAATTATATAGAAAGTACATAGAAAATTGTAAATTTAATTATATAGAAATTATGTAGAAAATTGCACACTCAATTATATAGAAATTACGTAGAAAATTGTATACTCAATTATATAGAAATTACGTATAAAATTGTAAATTTAATTATATAAAAATTATGTAGAAAATTGTATATTTAATTATATAGAAACTACATAGAAAATTGTAAATTTAATTATACAGAAATTATGTAGAAAATTGTATATTTAATTATATAGAAAGTACATAGAAAATTGTGTGTATTTAATTAAATAAAAATTATACAGAGAATAGAAATTATGTAGAAAATTGTATATTTAATTATATATAGAAATTACGTAGAAAATTGTGTATTTAATTAAATAAAAATTATACAGAGCGTTACCTGTAATGCTACTCGTGATTTTTCTGCCTTACTTTGATAACAATGTAATTAAAAAATAATTTGTATGTAACTGAAAAATTTTCATTTAGAAAATAATTTCCTAAAAATTGTTTAATATTTTTCTAAATATTAGTTGATTCTGTTAGAATTTGAAATTAGAGCAATTTCGTAATTACCAGAACATATGTCTCTAATGATTCGAAAATTACAAGGATTTTGCACCTTTGATTCGTTCTCCTCTAAAGTGTGACAATACACTATGGCTCTGGGTCCAGATATATACCTGGATTAGTTCCTATCAAACTTTCCTCCAGAATCCACCTAGGTTTCTCGTCGTTCAACGTGGCTAATAGTCCTTTCATGCAAATGGCGAACAGCAGGGCCAGTACGGTGAAGAAACACGCGTAAAACGTTCCGGTAATGGCTGAAAACAGAATGAAACAGAACTATTAATATTGTTGAACATTTTATGTATTTGGAATTTACAGATTTTGGGATTTTGGAATTTTGGAAGATGGAAATTTGAAATTAGGGAATTTGGGGATTTGGGGATTTGGGGATTTGGGGATTTGGGGATTTGGGGAATTGGGGAATTTAGGGATTTGGGGATTCGGACATTGGGAAATTGGGGAATTGGGGAATTGGGGATTTAGGGAGTTGGGGATTTGAAGATTTGGAGATTTTGGTATTTGAGAAATTGGGAATTTGGGGATTTGGGGAATTGGGGATTTGTACATTTGGGAATTTAGAAATTTGGGGATTTAGGGAGTTGGGGATTTGGAAATTTGAGAAATTGGCAAATTGGGGAATTAGGAAATTGGGGAATTGGGGAATGGGGAATTTAGGAAGTTGGGGATTTGAGGATTTGGAGATTTTGGAATTTGAGAAATTGGGAATTTGGGGAAAATGGGGATTTGGAGAGTTGAAGAATTAGGGAGTTAGGGATTTGAGGATTTGGGAATTTAGGGAATTTAGGGAATTGGGGATTTTGTAATTTGAGGAATTGGGAATTTGGGAAAATTGGGGATTTGGAAAGATGGGGAATTGAAGAATTAGAGATTTAAAAATGTAAGGATTTAGAAACTTAAAGATGTAGAAATTTGGGAATTTAGAAACTTGGGGAATTAGGAAATTGGGGAATGAGATATTTGAGAAATAGGGGATTTGGCTATTTATGATTTTCAGAATTTAGAAACTTGATATTTACATTTGAAAATTTATTAACTTGAAGATTTATAAATATGAAACTTTTAGAACTCAATATTTGGAATTTAGAGATTTGAGAATTTAGGCATTTAGGATTTCGGTATTTGACAATTTGGGGACTTTACAATTTGGACATTCATAAATTTAAAAAAGTTTGAAGTCGCAGATATTGAACTCGAAAATATAAAAGTTGAACACCTAGAAAATCAATGTGTTAATTCGAGAATGTAAGAATTTTTCTAAACAAGAATTTACGTATTCAAGTTTCTGAAAATTGTTGACTATAAAAAAGTAGAAATCCCAATTACGTTGTGGCAGAGTAATAAAAAATTACTTTTCAAACTCCTAATTTACTTCAGTCTATAAATTGGTATATAAAGTTCAAACTATAAATTACTTCATAAAATTCAAACTATAAATTAACAAATAAATTACAAACTGTAGTGTGTACCTTAAACCATCATTAAATATTTGAAAAATACAAATAAACACGAATTAAAAAAAATTCAGCGTCCCAAATATTAGCACGATAAAGTTACAAAGACCTTATTTAAACAATTACGGAAATGCATAACGATAATCGTCTCCTGTATTTCTTATCAACGTGCAAAAATTATTCGGTATAATTGTAGCGTTGTATGCAAATTGTAAAAGCGAACAGCGTCGAAAATTTTCACCGTTTCGACGATTGAACGGAAAATATTTAAAGTGTGGGCATCGTGCCAAAGTCCGATCTAAATATAGTATCTTTTTCAAGAGTAGATAGCGTACGCTACGATACCCACTAGCTACTATGTCTTTACAGTTTTATTACGTACAGTCTTTTTGCGATATCGCCGGAAACGGAGGAAAATTACGGACATTTTGACAATCGTGTTAAGAGTCCACGTTTTGGCGGTGAATTTGAACTTTAGTATTCACCGATTAATTATTTCAAAATACATATATATAATTATTATTTTAACGCATTGATATATTTATATTTAATATTTGATATTAAAATACTTAATTATTATTTAATATTTAATATTGATATTTTATGTTCAGTATATGTCGGTTGATAATATGTATACATTTATGTATATTTCTATATTTTTGTGTATCTGATAAAAATATTTATTTAAAACAATAAATATAATGTACACGATAATTTATATTTATTGTTTTATTTTATGGACTGTTACATATATTGTTGTATATATTTAATAAACAAAAATTGTTAATTTAATAAAATTTACCTTATTCTTTAATCACGTTAGTAAATAGACAAATAATATACTTTCCTTAAGTTCTATCTGTCATACGTCATATTTTATCAAGAAGCACTTCTTACTATAAGTAACGTGATTCCATATCTTAGGTTTCAGATAATTGTTTCATAATTTCACATTTGTTGCTATGAATTTAGTATTTATATATTGTGATAGAAAGTTTATGGTTCTTAATACAATTTGTTTACAATATTTGTTATGAAAATACTTACAATATTTGTTTTCTAAAAATTTGTCAGACATGTGTGGAAAAGAATCACGTGTAACGTATATGGATAATATATTATTAGTATTGGAATATAATTTGAAATATTATTAAATAATTCCAGCGTTTCTGTTCAATTTTATTCTGTATAGTCGACAGTGATTTGTAAACAACCGTTCGCTTCGGGAGCTCAATGAAGAATGCCCGTACCGCTACCTGCTTCGAAGGGTGCTCTCTACCCCTCGTAATCCGTCCCGCAGTGACCGGTTGTTCTGTTGTCAATTTTACTCTCTATTGTCTACTGTCCTTATGCTAAGGATATGATAGTATGTATATGAAAAAATATAACATATACTTTTATGTTAATGTTATATGTAAAAGGTATAACACATATAATATATCATATAGAAAAAATGTGACATGTATAACATGATATTCATCGGAAAACGTATAACATATATAATATGATAATATATGAAACAAAAATAATATATACTTTTATGTTAATGTTATATGAAGAAGGTATAACATATATAGTATATCATATGGAAAACTGTGACATGTATAACATGATATTCAGTGGGAAACGTATAACATATATGTATAATATATTATATGAAAAGAATATAACGTATACCTATAATAAGATGCTACATAGAAAAAGTACATATACAGTACAATATTATAAAAAGAGAATGTAATACATATGAACTAAGAGAGTTTGTAGTTTTTCATATATCTATCTTTTCATATATTTTTCATGTACGTGTAATACTTCTGCAGATTTATCCTTCTCAAAACGAATGTATCATTAATGTATGATATTATTAAGTTTGAAGAACAAAATCAAGTGACCAAAAAAGTGCTCTGTTGCAACTAAAGTTTCCGATATTAACGATAAGTCACATAAACGTCATCTTATCGTGTTATCATTTTGATTAAACGATATATCGTATCATCACTCGAAACTACAAGATAAAAGAGCTATTGATGAAAGACTTGATTACCAGAAAATTGCGTCATTTATCAAGTACGTGTTTGTCCGCGTAGTAAACAAACGAGAATAATGGAGAAGAGTAAGCAAAAACGCTTTCGATGTAATTGATACTGATTCAGATTTCATCTCCCTTTAACAGTTTTCTTAATCACTACGCTAAGTCGTAATTACTTTATCGTATGTCGCATAATATAGGGAGATAGTGTCTTATATCATTTTAATCAACATGTTGAGACGAAGAGTATGATTATCACGTGACCCTGTCGCAGAAAGTCGTAATTACTTTATCGTATATCGCATAATATAGAGAGATAGTGTCTTATATCATTTTAATCAATATATTGAGACGAAGAGTATGATTATTACGTGACCCTGTCGCAGAAAGGGCAAAGCTTTCATTGTGTAGCACCGCGTCATGTCTTATGAATGTAGACTCTGTCTGCCTCGTGATTAGGCTTATTGTTAACTAAATTCGAAATACCTTGGCAATTGTTCAACCGGTTTACTTTGTAACTCAATAATCAGTGACATGGTTGTATGAACGTTTGTATAAGGTTAACATGAGAGGTTTTGTTGAAGAAGATGCACTCAAAGAAATGGCTGTCTCATTTTCGTGAATGAGGATCACATTTATGAACGGTATGTAAGATATGTGTAAGTGATGTATTAACTGTATATGAGTGATATGAGCTGTGTGTGAGTGACACAAGTGTATACAGGTGATACTAGCTTTATATAAATGATATAAATAATATGCAAGTGATATCAGCTACATATAAGTGATATGAGTTATGCATGTGAATTTTGTATAAGTGACACAAGCTTTATATAAATAATATAAGCAATATATAAATGATATAAACTATAAGTGACGTAAATAATATATGAAGGGATATATAAGTTACATATAAGCGATATAAACAATATATGAAGTGATATATAAGTTGCATATAAGTGATATATACATATGTAAAATATTTGGTAGTTTTGAACATATATTGTAAACAAAGTGAAGCAGACACGAAACTCCACCTTTGATGCTTTCAATATCTCTGCTACGACCTTGCAAGTATTCGAGGCCACATACTAGTTTCGAATGTTTGTATGACACACATAAATATGGTGCCTTTGAAGTGTAAAACGATCTTTGAGTAACCTTAACAATTTCTGACGAACAATTTTTATTTATATCATTTTATGGAAAATATTCTTACAAGAACAATTTTGTTTTCCATATAATATATTGTACATATGTGTTATGCTGTTTCCATATTTTATCGTATAATATACAGGGTGTCACAACTAGTGTAGGTCCCTGACATGGGGAGTAGCTGACGTGATTTTGAATAAGATTTCCCTATGCAAAAATGGGGTTTGAAGCTTCGTTTTTCCTTAATAATTCAAAAACGAAGCTTCAAATCCCATTTTTGCAAAGGGAAATCTTATTCAGAATCACGTCAGCTACCCCCATTTCAGGGACCTACACTAGTTGTGACCCCCTGCATTTCTAAATTCGTAAACTTGAAAATTGCAAGTATACAAATTTAAAAATCTTCAAACAACAAATTTTGCAAATTTACAAACCCGAAAGCGTGAAGATTTGAAATTTAACAACGCTAACGAAGGCACTGCGAATGGAATTTGTGTACATAGCATTAATTCTACGAATGCTACTCACAACACGTGTAATATATTGTACATATGTAATCTTGCCTAAATACTAGTAGTCACTAGTATCTGAATTT